GGAAAGCCGTCCATGCCAATCTAGACGCTCTGTTCCGAAAATGCTTTTAACGGAAAACTTTTCCGTTAAAAGCATTTCTGGAAAATCATGCCAATCTAGACGCAGCCATACTGTTGAACACATGCCAGATAATGGAATGGGCCATTACACAGAAAATCTAAGCACTATTATGGTGGGGGAGAAGAAGAAAGATTCATTGGAGTCTGCTAAATTTCACTGCACAAAAATTTAGTTATGGGTTGGTGTAATTTCAGGACAGCTGTTTCACCAATACAGCTCTTCATAATAGGTAAGGGAGATTTTCTAGGGAAGACAAACAGAGGTACTGCCACAGGAGACCTGCTGGAAGAGGTTGCCTTGGGAGGTGTACTGATTCAAAGCTTCTCCTGGGTTCTGTGATCCTGTTTCCCTGGGTAGCCCTGCTGTAACTGTATTGTGCAGCCCCATCTGAGTGGAGTTGTGGCCAGTCTGGGTTACTTGCAACCACACTCTGGGTGGATTTTTTGCTACCAGACAGATACACACAACCTGGGTTTTTCTGGCAAAACAAAAGTCAGTGGATCTCTCAGGCAGTGAAACTGCTCTCTACTCTTTAGTGAATATTTGCTCACCACACTTTGCCACGGTTGGGACTCTGCTCAAGGGTTGGAAGAGGGCTGGAACAGCACAGAATGTTGCATTTCACTGATAGTAATAAGATTCCTTGGCAGAGCAGTGATGGGAAAACTTGTTTGCAGTAAATCTGCCTCTAGCCATACCCATCTATTAAAATTCACACAATTTAAAATAAAAATGCTATACAGTGATTTATTTGTACATGATAGTAAAAGCCAAAAAAATTCTTCTTACTCGCAGAAATCTGTTCTTTGAATCAAAATGGTCATTAGCTTAAGAGCATAAGAAAAAGAACATAAGAATGAGTGTAATGGTACAGATCAATGGTCCATCTACCCCATTCTGTCTTCTGGCAGTGGCCAATGCCATATGCTTCAGAGGATGGGCAATTATCTAGTGATCCATCCCCTTATTGTCCAGTCCCAACTTCTGGCAAACATAGGCTTAAAGACACTCAGAACATGCAGTTGCATCTGTGACTCACTGGCTACCAGCCAGCAATGGACCTATCTTCCATGAACATGTCATTCTTTTTTGGCCTTCACAACATGCCCTGGCAATGAGTTCTACAGGTTGACTGGGCATTGTGTGACGTACTTTCTTATGTTTGTTTTAAACCTGCTGCCTATTAATTTCATTGGATAAGCTGTGGTTCTTGTATTTTGGGAAGGAATAAATAACACTTCCTTATCACTTTCTGCACCATTTATTCCAAACTAAAACTCCTAGGCTACGTCTACACTGTAGGCTTCTTGCGCAAGAACTGTTTTGCGCGTTTCTGCACAAAAATACTTGCGCAAGAGTGTGTCCACACTACCATGTACTTTTGTGCAAGAGATGTGCTTTTGTGCAAGAGCATCCATGGCAGTGTGCATGCTCTCTTGCGCAAGAAAGCTCTGATGGTCATTTTAGCCTTGCGCAAGAAACCCATGTTGCCTGTCCACACTGCCTTCTTGCACAAGAGGGCTTATTCCTCATGGCGAGAGGAACAACTCTTGTGCAAGAAGTCCTCTGTTCCGATGCTTTACTGTACATTTACTTACACAAGAATGCACATGAAGTGTAGACACTCCGCAAGTTTTTACGCAAGAATAGCTGTTCTGCGCAAAAAGCCTGCAGTGTAGACGTAGCCCTAGTCTTTTTAAACTCTCCTCAGATGAAAGCTGTTGTATATCCCTAATCATTTTTTGTTTCACCTCTACCTCCTCCCTTTCTATTAAGTCTTTTTTGACACATGGTTTCCAAAACTGCACATGGTATTCAAGGCGTGGGCATACAATGGATTTATATAATGGTACAGGTTGAACCTCCAGTCGAGCCTCCTTGGTATCTGACAGGTGCTGAACCAGAGAATTTGCTGAACCAAGGATATCCAGTATTGTCTAGCAGCTTTACCAACACTTCCACAGCTTACTGGGCTCTTAGAAGACATTTAGGGCTAAATTAGAGCTAAATACCAGCACAGAACATTGCCAGGAATAGTGGCTGTAAACAAACTTCATGGCACCGTGGGAAATTTAGTCACACCCATGATAAATGGACATCCAGCTAACTAAAATCATGCTGCACCACAGATTTTGCTGGACCAGGATGCCAGACTAGAGAGGTCCAACCTGTATTATGATATTTACTGTCTTATTTTCTATCATTTTCTTAATGGTTCTTAGCATTCTGCTAACTTTTTGACTACCACTGTACATTAAAGCAAATGTTTTCAGAGAACTATCCACAATGACTACAAGAAATCTTTCTTGAGTGGTAACACTAATTTAGACCCCTTAATATTGTACATATAGTTGAGATTATGTTTTCCAGTGTGCACTAATTTGCCTTTTTCAACACTGAATTTCAAGTACCACTTTGTTGTCCAGTCACCAAGTTTTGTGAGATCCTGTTTTAACTTTGCACAGTCAGATTTGGACATAACTATCTTTACTAATTTTGTATCTTCTGCAAACTTTGACACTTTACTGTTTACCCCTTTTTCTAAATCAGGGGTTCTCAAACTTCATTGTGCTATGGCCCCCTTCTGCCAAAGCAAAATTACTATATTTTAGCGCATATAACCTGTGGGTTATATGCGTTTTTACAAATCCTGCACCCTGCCCCCCCTTGGGGTATACTCAGGTGGGGGGTATACAATATTTTTTTTACTCACCTGGTGAGTTCCTGCGCAGCTGCAGGAAGGGGTGGGGGAGCGCTCATTCCCCGGTTCTTGCGCAGCCCAGGAACCAGTGGATAAGTGCTCTCTCGCGCAGGGCCAGATTAAGGCATGGGCTAGCTGGGCAGCTGCCCAGGGCATCAACCTATGGGGGCGCCTGATGGTAGTTGTAAGGGGCGCACAGCGCCCCTTATAGCTGCCATTAGGCACTGTGCGCCCGGCTCCCGGATCGCAGGCTGTAGCAGCTCCCAGCGGCCACCCTGCAGCGGCCGCCCGGGGCGGGGGCTGTGTTAACCCTCACAGCGCCAGCCATCAGCGCTCGTCCCCTCGGCACTGTGGGGCCCTGCACGGCCAGGCTCGGCCTCCCCCGGGCTGAATGCCAGCGGCAGTAGCCAGGCTGGGCAGGACCAAGCATGTGCGTCCTGCTGCCGCCGGCTCCGCATGCCCTCCCCTGCGTGCTGGGCGGGGCCGGGTCTGCGCATGTGCCTTCTCCCAACCCGGGGCGCAATTAAACTGTCTGCCCGGGGCACTGGAATGGCTTGGTCCAGCCCTGTGTCCCACCCGGAGGTTGAAGGCTGCGCAGCAACTGGGGCGGTGAGTGCCCACAGGAACCAGGGCGTTTAGGCTGGCTAATTGCCCCCCTCCCCACTCTGTAAATTAGCTAATATACCCCGGCACAGTTTGAAAGAAAAGTCTTGTATACCCTGCGGGTTATACTCGTGTGTGGGGTATACAAGATTTTTTTTACTCGGAAAAACCGCAGGATATATTCGGGTGTGGGGTATATTCGCTAAAATACGGTACTACATAATTCCAGGAGGGGAGATTGAACCATGAGCCCACACAAGTCCCACTGCACCAGGCCAAAGCTGAAGCCTACGTCCCACCACCCTATGATCAAATATAAAGTCTGGGGGCTTCAGCCCTATGCAGATGACCTGTAACCAGAGCCCCACCACGCTGATGTTCTTTGGCTTTGGCCCTGGCCAGTGGGACTTCGGCCCTGAGTTAACCCCGTTAAACTTACTGTTTAACCAGTTAACTTTTAAAATGGGATTTTACATCTCTAGCGGAGAGGCTTGAGTTTTGGCCCTAGCAAATCTAAGCCGGGATCACTCAGCTTGCTGGTAGAAAACAGGCAAGTGGTTTTCACTTTTGTTTCTAGTGCAGTCAGACATGTGCTGCAATCACAACATTGCAAAAAGTCCAACCCGGGTTGCCAGGGCGGCCACATAACTAGCCTGGGACAATAGAAAAGTGATGTTTATAGGCGTCCTCGCCCTGATTCCTCCCCCACCCGGCTCCCTCCCGCCTGTGGCTGTGCTGCCGGGTGATGACTGCCTCTTGGCTCGCTCCTGCCAACCAGGTCACAATAGCTTCATGCCGCTGCTGGCTTCGGCCGCAGGGAGCGTCCCGG